AGTAATCAGATATCACGAGAAGGGCAGGTGATGCAGCAGTGCAGCACAGTGACTTGGACCTTGGCAGTGTCGAGCCAGACGGTGCATGGAAATAGGTGGCAGCTGACTACTTATATGTTTGCATTGCAGTGAACATATTCAGCTTGTTTATTCAGATTTAAGAATCTAGGCACAGAATTCCTGAACTCTCTGCAGTGATTCAAGTACAGAAAAAATAAACAAACCAAATAAGAAATGAAGCAGAGACACCAACTGAAGGATTGCAAAATTATTTCTGAAGGAGTCCAGATCTATATAAGCTTATGTTGTTCTGTTTGTTTTGTGCTAGGAGTGCAAAATTATTTCTGAAGGGGTCAAGATCCATATAAGCTTATGCTGTTCTGTATGTTTTGTGCTAGGAGTGCAAAATTATTCCAAACTCCTAATCTCAATCTTAGGGCCTGTTCACTTGTTGGTTTCAGCCAGCACAAACCAGCCAGCCAACAGTGTTTTTCTCTCAAAAAAACCAGCACCAGCCAGACCAAACCAGCACCAGCACCAACCAGCGAACAGGCCCTTAATATAAGGTTACAAACTCAGGGATACACTAATGACCTTCTCAGTGAACTTGCCAACCATGAAGAAATAATAAAATACTGCTGGATGCATTAATGACCTTGTCAGTGAAACGTAAGTAACAGGAGTGCTGATCCATCCTACAGGCTGATTGATGAAACATTAGGAAATGCGTAGAGCTCACACAGATGGGGAAATAACTACAGTTCAAAAACTACAAGTAATACTTTACGTCTTTACTTATACAGCACCATGTGCACACATCCTTGCTAAATTTTTTAACAGTAACGAAGATGTCTTCAGGATATCCCAATTCCATTTATGGACTTGGCTACGGTATTTAAAGTATGACATACGAAAATGAAGATATCTGATCGGCCTCAGAAGCTAAATATGATTTCATCTCTAAGGGTCGTCTACCCAGGATATCTGTTTTATTTAGAGTGCAAAGCAATCGCTTCCTTTCTTTAATCTAACACAACAAGAATCAAGAATCTCGATCTCCAAGTCCTAAATTTGTCATAGCGAACTTGATTCACAAAATGGGATGGGGATTGGACGGAGAGGACCTAGGGTAGGCGACGGTGCTGAACTGTCAGACCCGCCAGCCCAGATTAGGGTTTGACGTCGGAGGAGGTGCTGAGGCAGCCGGTGGATTCGTCGACGGAGCTGCAGCCGAGGTGGAGAAGAAGGAAGCGAGGAGCAGGTCCGTCGACGGAGCCTGTCGCCAGTTGTCGCCGGAGGCGGCGAGGCGTTCCGCTGCAGCGTCGCGGATGTGGTGATGTGAGCGAGGCGCGAGCACTGCGGGCGACTGCCGGTTTTGGACTTTTGGCGGACAGAAGCGGGCCTCTGCTAGTGTCCAGTGGGCCTTGCATACATCAATGTACTTCAAAGCCCGCGACAAGATTTGATTGGAGGCTGCCACTTGAGCCCACCAACGCTGTTTTTGCGGAGCGGGCCGAGTGGGCGCGCAGGCAGGCCTGTGCCACTTTCATCCCTAGACGGACTCGCCGCCGTCCCGTCGGCTGTCGTCTTCGTCTCCCCTTCCCCAATCCCAGCCCGAGCGAGCCAACATCCCAGACGGAATCGATCCGAGGCTAACCTAGGGTTCCGTCCGGATCCGAGCTCGTCGATGGGGAGGGAGGGCGTGGTGGCTGGGCCGGCGGCGGAGGGGAGTAAATCGCGGCCGGAGTGCATCAACTCGTCCAATCCATACCACGAGTGCTCCGACTACTGCCTCCGCAAGATCGCCGAGGCCAGGCAGCGCCTCGACGACGAGCTCCCCGACTCGTGGAAGCGCCCGCCCGAGCAACGCACCGTCCACCCGGACTGCATCAACGCCTCCAGCCCCTACCACGAGTGCTCCGACTACTGCTTCAGGCGCATCGCCGACGCCAAATCCGGTGCGTCCGGGTGATTCCTTCTCGTTAATTCGATTCGTCGTGAGGCCCTTCTATTTATTGCTTAGTTAAAAATCTGAGCGCTCCTGGCTGCTTACCGTGTGCTTGGTTGACTTCTCGTTAGGGCTCGAGCGTGGGGAGGGACAGCCACCAGCTGATGTGGCCACCACTGCCGGCACGTCCGATGCAGCGGAGCAGCAGCGACCTGAAGCCGACGAACAGGAGGGCAAAGCCGCGGACGATGGTTACCCGCAGATGACGGAAAAACAGAAGAAGCTGTTCGAGTTGCGGCTTAAGATGGTGATTTCACGTGTCATTTACCTACTTTTGCATCCGGGCTGTTGCCACGCTGTTTGGTATATTAATTCATTCGTTTCTTTGATGTCTGACGTTCCGCAGAATGAAGCGCGGAAGGCAAATCAGCAGGCAATGGTTGCTGAGAAGAAAAGGATGGAGCCTCGCGGCGAGAGCCGAGGTGTTTCTAAGCAGAAGTGGCTAGACGACAGGAAGAAGAAGATCGGGAAGCTGCTGGACTCAAATGGCCTTGATATGTCCAAGGCGTACATGCTCGATACGCAGGAGACGGCAGAGGCCAAGTACAAGAAATGGGAGAAGGTACCTGCTCCATATGGGTGGGATGGTGAGTGAGCTCACTCCTCTAACGTCCACAGATGTCTGACTGGTACAAAACATTGTTTTGTTGAGATAGCTGAAAATGCTCCACATTGGTGATGTTTACTGGATGACTTCTCTGTTGCGTTTTGCTTAGTCTTTGTTGAGTTTCTACTCCATTCGCATTAGGATTCGGGGTGCAATGTTATTCATGGTTGGCTTGTGACAGCATCAGACTTGGTGTTATAGTACTTTCTGTTATTCATGTTATAAGAACATATCGAAAGAGAAAGAAGTAAATCCTGTGGAACGTAACTTTATTATGGGGTTAATATAGTACTTTCTTGGCAAAGCTTATTGAATAACTATCTCAGTCCATCCTGTGTTTGCGCAGTATAAACCAGAGAAGTATGCTAGGTTGGGAATGTGCGGGGGAGATATCTCTGTGTTATGTACAATGGGTAAAAATTTGCTATTATGTTGCTACTATGTATAGATTGCAAACATGTCTTGCTACATAATAATCTATATTCAGTTGCCATAGCAACTACAGTGTTAAATCATACAATTGTTGCCATAGGAATGTCTTCTATGCCTTTTCATGTCAAATGCTATGATTGGTGCTGTTCCATTTTTTTCCATTTGTCTTGAAGTCCAAATGCACCTTTATCATTTGGGTGTTTGAGTTGCATCTGAGAAATCGTGGTTATACTTTCAGTTTTCAATCAAAAGACCTTGTATGATGCTTACAAAAAGAGGACCAAGAATATAGAAGTCGACATGGAGGTTTACAATAAAGCCAAGGAAGATGACCCTGAATTCTACCGGGACGCCTCAAGTCTCCAGTATGGGAAGGTATTGCTGCCATGGTGCCATCGCATCACATCAACAAATCGTTGAATGTCCTTGTGGAAACAAGTCAACTGACCGTTGTGTGTTTTGCCTTGCACAGGTGTCCAATGTGCCAGAAGAAAACATTGACAAAATGGTCAAGGAACTCAAGGAGCGGGAAGAGAAGCGGAAATCATTCAGCAGGAGGCGCAAGTTCAACGAAGACAAGGATATTGACTCGATCAACGACCGGAATGAGCACTTCAACAAGAAGATTGAGCGCGCCTTTGGCAAGTACACGCTCGAGATCAAGAACAACCTCGAAAGAGGTACTGCCCTACCGGACTAAAACCATACACAACAGCTATCTTCTGGCATTTTTCAAGCTAACCACTCGACTAGAGGCGAGTGTCCCTGCTGTTGTTTTCCTTTTCGCATGGTTACTTTGTATGCTTGTAATTTGAGGCCACAGTTGCATTGTGACTTGTAAGAAACCTGAACTGGGTTGTAACAACGCGAGGCTGAAGTAATGTACAAACAGTTTTGTATGCATGTGAGCTGAATGGGATGAGTGATTTGTAATGTTGTATATACCGCGTCCAGGTTTGTGTAAATTAAAATCAATTCTGGGACATTGAGAGCGACCTGTGTGTGTCTCTACGTAGACTAGTGAGGCAGCCACCCATTCTTTCATTAACAAAGCATCCATCCCTTAAACATACCTGAGAAGAGAGACGAGGAAAGACACAAGCCGAGGTATATCTAGCATCCCTCTGCAATCCTTTTCGTCTTCCTCTTGTTCGTCTGAGGTACAGCTCCCTCACTTTGCATTTCCGTTCTGCATTAGGCCAGCTCGCCCACCGGCAGCGCGGTAGAAGCAGACCTTGACGACGACCTGCTCCAGTTTCGGCCTGCTGATCTTCTTCCTGGTCAGGTATGCTGGTGCTGCTTCAATTCTTTAACACAAGTATAAAAACATGGCGTTGTTTCTTCAAACAATAAGTATAGGCATGGTGTTTTCTTTCATCCTTATACATCTCTGTTTCAAAGCCGCGAAACCGACAAAGTTTAGCCTTACCGAGTGAAGACCAATTCAAAGCAGCCATTGAGCAACAGCAACCAGGTCAACAATAACCTTTGTAGCCTGTCCACTTCTAAACGCCTAGTTATAAAATTCTTGTCATCTTGCCATCAGCACAAAACAAATCCTCAATGGGTTTATTCCATTGTGTTGGTTGTTGCACATGTCACTTTCTTCTGCCATCACCGTGTTCAGCACCCCCACATTACTCTATTTATATACCCTCTACTCTCTGAGTTTGCTCCTACATTTATCATACACAAGCTACTTATACAATATATTGTACGTCCCTTTCTGCTCCCAACTACTATACTGCTCCCAGTTTCTGCCCTTTTGTTTCCCAATCTTCCTTCTTGTTCCATCGAAACACATGCTCTCTTTTCTGTTCATCCTGCACTTACTGCTCTAGTTTTTTTCTTGTACAAACACCCTGATTGTTTACTGCCTCACTACCAGTTCTTGTGGCCTCCCAATCAGCATCTGATACCAGTATTCAGTTCCTTGCATAAACTTGCCAGGCAATGTCCAAGACTGAGAGCAGAAAGCTGTCCGATGACTATGAAGTTGTGGATGTCCTTGGCCGAGGCGGGTTCTCGATAGTGAGGAGGGGAGTGAGCAAATCGGAGGGGAAGACCCAGGTCGCCATAAAGACCTTGCGAAGGCTTGGCCCGGCCATGAACGGGATTCAGCAAGGGTCAAAGGGTGGCCTTCCGATGTGGAAGCAGGTATCCATCTCTGACGCCTTGCTCACCAACGAGGTTCTCGTCATGAGGAGGATAGTTGAGAACGTCGCGCCACATCCCAACGTCATAGGCCTGCATGATGTGTACGAGGATGCGCATGGTGTGCACCTGATCCTGGAGCTGTGCTCTGGTGGTGAACTGTTTGATAGGATAGTGGGGCGTGACCGGTACTCGGAGTTCGATGCAGCAGCTGTTATTCGTCAGATTGCTAAGGGGTTGGAGGCTCTTCATAAGGCAAACATCATACACAGGGACTTGAAGCCAGAGAACTGCCTCTTCTCTGACAAGAATGAAGATTCCACGTTGAAAATCATGGATTTTGGTCTAAGTTCTGTCGAAGATTTCAGCGACCCAATTGTGACTCTGTTCGGGTCGATAGATTATGTTTCGCCAGAAGCTCTCTCAAGGCAAGATGTTTCAGCTTCAAGTGATATGTGGTCCGTTGGGGTAATTCTATATATTCTGTTATCTGGGTATGTTTGATCAACCTTCCTTGTGATTCTCTCCTGGTTTGATTTCCTGTTTATATCCTGATGAATTTCACTTGGTGTGATTACAGATGCCCGCCATTTCATGCACCAACTAATCGAGAAAAGCAGCAAAGGATACTGCAAGTAAGTCTTACTGTGGCTAGTCTCTGGACATCATGTTGCTCCATTTGAGTTCATAGTTGTTCAGAATTATCCTGCCTTTTCATGTTTCATGTGTTCACAGTTTGAGCATTCCTACGACCTGATCTGACATAAGTAACACATTGGTTCACTTGTAGTGTAAATGGAAGCCAAATTAAATTCTATGAAAATACCTTTGTATTTGTTAACAAAACTATAATCATTTGATAGCACATACCATATGTCATAGTCATGAATGTAGTGCAGTTTAGATTTCCATTCACTTATGGTATTAATGATATATGCTCTTCCAACCTAAATTACATTTAAAAGAAGAGAACCTAGGTGGGCCTAGGTAAGATTTTGGAGCAATCGTTTCATAGCATGGAAGCAGGCCTCTCAATCAATATACTGAAGAACTGCCTTTTCATGTTTCATGTGTTCACCGTTGGAGCATTCTACAACCTGCTCTTACAATAAGGAACATGTTTGCTCACTTGTGGTGGAAGCGGGAGCCAAATTAAATTCTATAAAAATATCTTTTTATTTGTTAACAAAACTATAATCATTTGATAGCACATGTAAGATGTCATAGTCATGAATGCAGTGCAGTTTAGATTTCCATTCACTTGTGGTCTTAATGATATATGCTCTTCCAACCTAAATTACATTTAAAAGAAGAGAACCTAGGTGGGCCTAGGTAAGATTTTGGAGCAATCGTTTCATAGCATGGAAGCAGGCCTCTCAATCAATACTGAAGAACTGCCTCCTTCTGGTAGCTGTTGGCAGTCATATTTGATCTGTCCTATCTGTCATTCTGTTTTAAAGGCCAATTTCTCTAGAGGTGTCAAAGTACTAGCACCTAAACAGACCTTCCTGTTGGCTTGGGTGTACAAATTGTTCTTGATACCTTGCTATGTCCAATCAAATCGCTCAGGGAAATACAAAAAGGTAAGTTAATATGGACATAAGATCAGAATAAGGCAACCCAACCTCTCAAAAAGGAACCGAACCATTTTCTTGAAGAAGTGAGGTTTCAAAAATCTAGATTGTCTTTGGATTACATGATGGTGTACTCTTAACTGCTTACATGTTTCAACAAAGATGGCATCACTTGTCTTAAGTTGCTCTCCCTAAATCTGGAGGTTTTGCTCTAATGATGTGTGCTCTTCATTCTCCTTTCAGGGAGAATTCAGTTTCCAGGACCATGCATGGAAAACAATATCTTCATCAGCCAAAGAATTGATTTCCAGGCTTCTTTCTGTTGAGCCTTACAAGAGGCCAACAGCAAGTGATGTCTGTCCCATGCTGCTTCTTTTTTTTCTCTTCCATCCATATTGCCATATTGGCCAATCCGAATTACATATAACTGTGCTTATTAAAGTCGTGGACCTTGTCTTGCATCATTTGGACCAGCTTCTGGGGCATCCTTGGGTGATTGGAGACTGGGCAAAGCAAGACCTCATGGACGCAGAGGTCATATCAAAGCTGAAGAGGTTCAATGCTAGAAGGAAGCTGCGGGCAGCGGCAATCGCAAGCGTCCTCAGCAGCAAGGTGGCTTTGAGGACAAAAAGGCTGAGGAACCTTTTGGGAACACATGACCTGAGCTCAGAGGAGCTAGACAATCTGCGGGCTTATTTTGCACAAATGTGAGTATATAAGGAATTTGTTTGGTACTCGAGTTTTGATTCTAGCACTCATTTAGCAATAACATGAGGTTGAACTGAAGATTATAAACTGTTTAAAATGTGTCTAGATCCATATTCTCCGGAATTGATTTTAAGCATAGAATTACCTGTACTTCGTGAGAGAAGTGCATAGTAATTGCTAATCATGATGTTTATGTTTGGCGTGTCCTTGACCTATCTACATGGAGTTATGATCATTCAGAAGCTGTAGCATTATAAACATGATAGTGTGCATTCTCGAGTTTTGCACGAATGTCAGTATATGAGGAATTTGACCCCTTACTTTGTACTTGGTTTGGTATTCGAGTTTTGATTCTAGCATTCTTATTTAGCAGTAAGATGGGTTGGCGTGAAGACTGTAAGCTGTTCAAAATGTGCCTTATATCCATGTTCATGATCACTCAGATCTCAGAAGCTGTAGCATGAAAACATGATAGTGTGCATTATTGTTTCCTTCATTTGCCGGAGAAATTTCATTATACAGCAACAAGCAGTTGTTGCTGGCAAAAATGAAATCTTCACATAGTTAGTTCTGAAACCTTTTCACTGAAAAAAAAAGGACACCTGATATGATATGATATGCTGAGTGCTGTGACTAACAATGAGATGGTCGTGGATCGGGTGGTGCATATGCAGATGCGCGGACGGCGAGAACGCGACGCTGGCGGAGTTCGAGCAGGTGCTGAAGGCGATGAAGCTGGAGTCGCTGGTCCCTCTGGCGCCGCGCGTGTTCGACCTGTTCGACAACAACCGCGACGGCACGGTGGACATGAGGGAGATCCTCTGCGGGCTCTCCAGCCTCCGCAACTCCCGCGGCGACGACGCGCTCCGGCTCTGCTTCCAGGTGACGAGAATCGATGGTCCCTGTCATTCTGACTCATAGCAGTCCCTCCCTCCCTCTCTCGCGCGCGACTGACATACTTACTGAATGGACTGAAAAAAATGACGTGTCAGATGTACGACGCCGATCGGTCGGGGTGCATCAGCAAGGACGAGCTGGCGTCGATGCTGCGAGTAAGAGAGCTAACAAGCTGCCCGTCCTTCCTGTCTGTATGATATGGTGGTATATGTTGTCATGAGTTTGCCTGGTATTACTGTGGTCGCAGGCGCTGCCCGAGGAGTGCCTGCCGGGCGACATCACGGAGCCCGGGAAGCTGGACGAGGTGTTCGACGAGATGGACGCCAACGGCGACGGCAAGGTGAGCTTCGACGAGTTCAAGGCGGCCATGCAGAAGGACAGCGCCCTCCAGGACGTCGTCCTCTCGTCCCTCCGGACTCCGGCGCCGGGGCAGTAGATGTAGACGGAGCGAGAGAGATTCAGCCCAGTCCAGCAGCTCGTTCCCTTCCCTTCCCACGAGAACACCAACACAACAGCATTGATCAGTACGGCACTGTACGGAGTATTAGCATCATCAACCAATCATGTCTGAACTTTTCCTTTTCCTTTTGTTGCTTGTCCCGTTGTCCGGTGGAAACGCGTGGAGAGCCTCGATGGATCAATCCTACTAGATGGCTGTGCTGTTGTGTGTTTCTGGAGCCCGGGACGCATCGGTTCGCCCGATGATGTGTGGGTGTGCATGGCAGCAGGCAGCAGCTGTGGTGACTGGCCGTGGCCGGTGGTGAGTCTGCCTACGGACAGCGTCGTTCTTTGCCGGACACACCCTGCGTTTGGAAGCGCGCACAGGCCACGCGCAGCACGTTTTGTGGACCTAGAGCAGGCCCATGGAACTCTGTCTTTCTCTCTTTTGGCTAACCTGGGCCGGGCTGTAGTACTTGCCTCAGGCGATGGGAGGGAAGAGAAGGTGGGCTGGGCCGAAACAAAATAAAATGTAAAGAAAGCGTCAGAGGCCAGCTGGGCCAGCGGTTGGCACGATCGTCGCCGCTAAGGATGCAGCGTGTATGCAATCCGTCACGGTCGTCTGGTCGTAATATTGTTTTTCGTAATAAAAAACTAGTGGGCACAATGGTTTTGTGCTTAGCAGCCAGGGAAGTGAGACATGGTCACAAATCGCAGTTTTAGAAACAGTCGTGTTCTATAATAATTGTTTGGATGCTTCAATTTTTTAAAGAATTTAGATTTTTAAAATTTGTTGCCTGTTTATACATGTGAATATGTTTTTGCCCCATGGTTTCTTATCCATTCGGGTTTTGGGTAGATTCTTAAAAATCAACAAGTTGATTGATACTTTCCACCCGAATCGCGCTTTTCGTTTTATTTTGGGTTTGACCAAAGAACAATAAATCAAGTATAAACTAGGGATCCAAACATCCTTACACCGCCACAACAGTCTTTGCGCTCGTCGTAATCCAGTTTTATAAACTAGTAGGAATAAGGTTTTGTTTTTAGAATCCAGGGATCGATCCAAACAGACACCTACATATGTGTGTTTCTATCGCCTCGTTTGACGCTTCAATTTTTAAGAATTTGGATTTTGAAAACTTGGTGGGATCGTCTTCTTCTCATAGACCTTTCTAAAATACTCACTCCAAGAAGTCTTGTTTTTTTTTTATTACTTTTAGACCAAAGAACAATAAATCATTTGATCCAAACGTTTTTGCTTCAAATTTTTATGCAAATAATAAAATAAATAAATTACTATTAAAATATCTTTAATGATAAAATAAGTAATATTTATACAAAATTTTGAATAAAAGAACAGTCAAAGAAGAAGTTTAGAAGTAAAAAAATTTCCTTCAATGGGACGGAGGGAGTACAACCATTTCATGAACATGGATATATAGTAATATAAATACTCCTATATATATGCTGAGCAGTGAGCGCCCAGCGTGCCAAAAAAGGTGATGATGCCTGGCCTGGACTGTCATGCGAGCAACACAAGCACGGGGAAGTTTGGCATGTGTTTAGTCCCCGTGCACCGTGATACCCCCACCATGTCCCGTTTGGAATTTAAGAAGACCGGTAGTATTTTGTTTTTATTTTGCAATTCGAGTTGTTTAATTATGGCCAATTAATCTTTCCGAAAACGTTCGTTTACGCCGCATCATTTCCAACCAAACGATGTAATTAGTTTTTTCGCCCCATATTTAATCGCCCAGGATCGTACGGAATCGCAAAGATTCGATGACTTTTGAGAATCTTTTTAACTAAACACAGCCTTTGGTCGGTGGTTGACTGAGACCCAATCGCTATCGGTGGCACGTGATGGAGAGGCACATGGTGGATGTGAGGGCGTCTTTGTACTTTGCCGCCGGGTCGGATCGGGTCGTCGGCGCGGCTCCCGGGGGCTCGTAAAGGCCAAAAGCTGCCTTTTCGTCCTTGCTTGTCTGGATGGAAAAGTTGACAACCACATGTGGTGGTTCCCCGACACAACCACATGCAGTTGAGTGCTCCGCCGGCCTACTACTAGCTTGGTGGGGGTGGGGGTTGATTTTAGGCTTTAATTGAGCCAGCAATTAATATGAATACACTTAGTCGTTATAAAGGATATTAGCATTTTTAACATATATATAGTTAAACCTAAAATTATTTACAGCTTTTCATGAAATGGATCTATAGTACTCTCGGTTTTGCTTGGCTGTGAGAGAGATCAAATATTTAGACTATTGAAATTAAATATCATCGGCAAGTAGGGCTGCCGACGAAGGATACCTTTTCGCAGCTGACGGCAAATTAAAGGCAAGCGTATGTTTCTTATCTTCACGGGTCACGACCACCACGCCATGCGCTTGCACGGCTCGAGCCTAAATACTCCTATATATGCTGAGCAGTGAGCGCCCAGCGTGCCAAAAAGGTACTTTTCGCTTCGGTGGTCCCCGCTGGCACACTGCATTTGTACTTTGCCGCCGGGTCGGATCGGGCGCGGCTCCTGCAGATCGATCGGCCTTGCTCGTCCATGGCATGGCCCAACCACATCAGTTTTTTTTTTATCACATCACACCACATCAGTTCGCAGCTCCGCCGGCGTGGCTGGGGGATTTTAAAAACCGATGCAGTAACGAATTATATATGGGTGGTGTTGTATAAAATTAGGAGTGTTTGGTTTCATCACATTAATTTTTTAAATTCATATATCGAATGTTTAGATATTAATAAGGATCATTAAATATCTTTTGATTAATTATAAAACCAAAAGTTTGTCATAATATAAACAAAACGTCTAATTTGGATTAAAAAATAAACAATTTTTTAAGCTCGGATGTGAGAGGAAACCTGAGACTATTAGCATCGTCATCGTTTAGGGGCTGCCGACGAGCGATACCTTTTCGTAGCGACGGCAAATCATGGCATGTGCAGATTAGTCTTCACGAAGATTCGCCATGCGCTTGCAAATTAGAGCGCCTACTTTTCGCTTCGCAATTGGGTCGCAGATTTCGGCCTTAGTCCATATGGCCCATGGGTCAATATCACATCACACTCATCAGTTCGCAGCGCGGGCGTGGCCGGGAAAAAAAAAACCGATGCAGTAACGGGGTTATATATGGGTGGTGTTGTATACTAAGCATGGCCCCGCTTTGATTTCCGGCTCTATTTCCCTAAACTAAGGAAAACCTAACGCCCATGCACACTGAATACCTATCCCCAATAATAATAATTCACTAAAAGCACTCAACTTATATAGGCCCTAGTTGGATGCAAGGTGCTAATTATTAGCAGCTTAATTAGCTCCTTTAGATCCAAAAGTCTAGCTAATAATTTAGCTAATTGTTAGCTCAATACTCAACTAACAACTATTCCACTAGTAGGACTAAACTAACTAATATCAGTTAATATTAGTTGTGACTTATTAGTTAGCTAATTATTAGTAGCTAATGGATCTAAACAAGGCCTTAGCTTGCTGGAATTGGCTCTGTATGTCTCCGTTGTCAGTTGTCATCATGACTCATCGGCGGAAACGTCCCTACTTTTCGACCGAGCGGCGACGTGGCCTTGTGTTGTTACCTTTTGAGACGTGGAAATTTTTAGCGCACTAGGATGCGTGTATAGTAGGAGAGCGATCATCTAACGGTGATGCACACGGGCATGTACTCTTGAGAGCAAAAACAACGGTGCTTTTGTGCGAGTATATGTGTTTTCAGATTTTTTCCCTAATTTTCTACGTAGAGTACTGGGGTTTTAACAATAATACAAAGATGGTAGCAATATTTATGATAATTAATAGGTACAATATAAAAAATATATTCCATGTGAATCTAATGTTTTTTTATATAATATAAATATTTGTATAGATTTGATAAAAAAAGCTTCAGATAGTTCCATTGGGTGCTATGGTAGGACTGTTTTTTTACGGGGAAAAGTATAATACTACTTGGTAGGTCACATGACAGAGACATGATAATAGACAATGTAACGATGATAGAGAGGTGCCGGCCAATGTGAGGGGGAGCAAAAAGGTTAACTTTGTTCGCGAGCATACCACCCACCAATTTGTCTCTTCTCTTCTGTGTATATTTATATATTGTACATTGTACTAAATCTTTGAAAGGGTCATCATATTGTATGTTTGGAGCATGTATCATGCATCATGCTCTACTAGTTTATTGGCCGACTAGCAGAGCAGGGAGCATAAAGAAATGGCCAGGCCGGCAGCTGGTGGACTGGTGGAGGGCACACTTGAATATTTGTTGCGGTACAGCAGCCTTTATAAGAAATGAATATAGGCGTTGGACCAGATCTTTTGAATTTAATTTAGGCCCTCTTTAGTTTCTTTAGTCACTGGACTAACGTGTAATCACATTTTAGTCACCCCTTGGAGACTAAAGGACTAAACTACTTTAGTCACCATGTTTGGTATTCTAGGGACTAAAAGTGACTAAAAAGTGGTGACTAAACTTTAGTCACCCCAAACCAAGCCCTTGCACTATAGGTCCATTAACTTGTAGAAGGGTGCACTAGTACAGAAATAAGTTGTACTCCCGGTTGGAAAACCCCTTCAGTCCCGGTTTTCCAACCGGGAGCACGAATCCGGGACTAAAGGGTCCCTCCTTTAGTCTCGGTTTCTCGCGCGGGACCTTTAGTCCCGGTTGGTAATACCAACCGAGGCTAAAGAGGCCTCCCGGCCTGACCACGTGAGCCGGCCCTTTAGTCTCGGTTGGTATTATCAACCGGGACTAAATGTTTTCTTTTTTTTGTTTCTATTTTTAATTGATGATTCGTTTTGGTTTTTGAATAGGTTTTCGAATACACATTCTACGTTGCTAATAATATACGTATTCTACACGCTTATAATGTTCGAACATTTTGTACAAACTAAAGTATGAAACTAATGTATATATTACATGCATATACATATATTGTATGTTATTTTATGTACATATAATATGTATATATATATTA